TTTTAAATTGCCATAGCTATATTTCACATTTTTACTGTGCTAAAATCATTAACTGACATAGTTGTTAAGACACTTGTTTTAATTATTTTTATTTTATTAATTATATTTATCTATTGTGCCAGTCATAATTTTTATTAGGGTATTATTAATTTTTAATTATAAAAGCCTAATTCACCCCCTCTTATGTTGTCTTTTGTGTAACACCCACATATCTGTATGAATCAACTCCAACTTTTCTGATTTTGGTTTCCTACAACCCTTTGAAAAACTGACCCTCTTTTGTTTGTCGAAGATACAATCCTTATAAAAGTCAATGTCCACCAATTTCAAATATGACAGTTTCCCCTTAGATGCAAGTACCTTAATCCCTTTTTGACTCATATGCTCAAGTCTTTGGTGCCACAGATTTGAGTCTTCCTTTTTACTAGCAATTGCTATTGCATCCCTATTGTTTGTAGTCATGTAAAGGGTGCATTATTTTTTACCACGAGCAACAACCATGGCTCATTTGGTGATTTTTTACAAACCACCCATAAAGGTTACAACATGACCTTCATCTTCAAGTTGTCCAATAGAAATCAAGTTTCTTTTCAAACTAGGCACACGTTTGACATTCTGTATCTTTCAAACAGATCCATTTGGCAACCTGATTGTTGCATTCCCTTTACCCACAATCTTCAAAGGTTCATTATCAGCCAGATAGATCTTCCCGAAATCACCACCAATATAATTTTCATGATTTCCCTCTGTGCAATAGAATGGAATGATGCCCCAGAATCTAAAATCCAAGATTCAAGAGGGCTATCAATACTCAAGATCAAAACATCATAAATCTCCTTCGTTGCATCAATGACAGAATTCTGATTTTGATCACTTTTGTTCTTATTCAATGTCGGGCAATCTCCTTTTAGACATCTCTTCTTTCCACAGTTCCAGCAACTCTATCCCTCTCCAGTTCTTGACTTGCTTTTGTGTTTGGATTTTGATCTGTTGCGGTTCGGGTTTTTTCCTACCAATCTTCCTTTAGCTTCTGTATTCTGGGCAGAACTTGATGTTTCCCCTAATTCCCTCCTACGAATTTCTTCACTCAAAATTAAATCTCGAATATCACTGTAATTTAACTTTTCTTTTCCCAAAGAATTACTCACTGCCGTTACAGTACGATTCTAACTTTCTGGCAAACTAGATAGAAGAATCAAAGCTCTAACCTCATCATCAAATTCGATAGATACAGAACTCAATTGTGTTGCCACAATATTGAATTCGTTCAGATGCTCAGCCACCGAAGCACCTTATGTCATCCTCAGATTAAGCAATATACGCATTAAATAAACTTAATTTAGGGCAGAGGATTTTTTGTACATGTTTGAGAGTGTCGCCATGAGCCCGCTATAGTCTTCTCTTTTGCTAGGTTAAACGCAATGTTATGAGACAATGTTAGCCGAATGACGCCTAGCACTTGGCGATCAAGAAGAGTTCACTCATCATCCTTCATCTTTTCTGGTTTCATCATATAGTTTTTTCTGATACAAATAGTCTTTAATCTGCATCTTCCAAAATTCAAAATATGTGCCATTGAATTTATCGATTCTAACCTTTTCTTCTGAAGCCATCGCTCCCATTCGAACCAATGCTCTCATACCAATTGTTAGGAATTGACCATTCATAACTAAGATTTGTGAGACACGAAATAACAAACAAGGAAGAAAAAATGAATCAAACAAATCACATACACAAGAATACAATGATTTACATGGTTCACTCCAGAATATGGCTACGTCCACAGCTGCTGCCGTTTTCACAATGATAAAAAAAATACAACTCTCTTTTAACTTAAAAGAAGCGTCTCCTTATCTATTTATAAGTGTAGAATTAGGGTTACGCGGAAGGTGCTTATCAGGGTCCAAAATAGGCGCCCCTATTGGACTCAGTGTTTGAGCGAACAGTAGGGTTGAGTGAACAGTACTTATCAGAATCTACCGACCCAACAAGAGTGTGTACCATCACATTACACATCTCAAACTGTAAAATGCAAGTTTAAATGGGCTATTTCACACTGTCTAAATGAAATAACAAGAATTAAGTTTACTTTAATTTTTTTTCAAAAAATAAATAAATATAATTATATTTATTTGGTGCTTTTTATTTTATTGAAATTTCATGTAAGTTTTTTAAAATATTTCAACCATGTTAAGCAATTTAATTGATTGAAACTAAGTTGAAATCAGATTAAGTTGGGAAGATATGACATTATTTTTGCTATGATTTAAGAGTTTTTTTAATTATATTTTATATGGTGTTTGGTCATAACTATATATATATATTTATTATAATTTTCATAGGATTGAATTATGGCATTTTAGAAATCAAATCCATAAATATGATAATTTGCATATAGTGAGGATATGGACTATAACATTATCTCTTAGGGGGTGTTTGTTTGGAAGGATTAGAGTGTGGAATAGGACTCCTTGTCTATTGCATGAGATAGTCCGATGTTTGGTTCAAAAAATATAAGTTGGACTAATAGTCTAACCGGACTATCAATCCCTTATTTGTAAGATTATTGTGTCCAATGGAGGCGTGTGGGATAACTCCTCCGAATTTGAAGGTTAAAATAACAATTTTGGCCCTCATTTTTTGCCCACAATTTTTTTGTTTATATTATTTTTAATTATACTTAGTAAAGTAAAATAAAATTTAAAAATCTCAACTAAAAATTAAATTAAATTAACACTCCAATGGATTATAATCCTCCTTTAAAAATTCAATTTATTTAATTAAAAATAAAAATAAAAATAAAAATTCAATTTATACAATTTATTTAATTAAAAACAAAATTAAAAGTTCAATTTATTGAAAAGTTCAAATTAAAATAAAATTAAAAAACCTCAACTAAAAATTAAAATAAATTTATATAATTTTTATTGATGTTCTATTTATTTAATTTTTTAAAAGTTTTAGTAAAAAAATTAAATAAAATTTATAATTTAGATTTAATATTGCTATTATTAGTAAATAATTCAAAAGGGCAAATACATTATCTAATAATAAGTGTGTTATTATTTTTTAATTTAAAATAATTATAATTTTATATTTTTATTTGATAACCACTAAATTTATAATATAGAGATTCCAATATTGCATTTTTGACATAGACAACAATATATTGTTTTCAACTAGTGTATTTTTCCTCCTGAGGGGCCTACCTTGCAATTAAATCCATTTCAATGAAAAATATAGGTTTGGTCCAGGGTATCACGTAACTATAGATTTGGCTAATTATAAACTATTTTATCTTTTTATATTTCCTAATCACTCAATGCAAAATTATGAGTTCCATTCTCTTTAAAAATCATAATGCATGGGGAGCAACGTTGCCTCTAAATCAATCAATAATTTTTTCATTGGACCAGTTGGAAAGTGCCACGTAATATCCTCATTCCTGCGTGCCTAAAGAAAAAATATTTCATGTCAATGTAGCATTGGCTCCAAAAAAATAAATGGCTTGATTTGTGTGGGAGTAATGTCACATGAGCTATGAAATATTTTTTAAGAAGGAATTTTATCGTATATTTGAACGATGCATGTCTATGTTTCAATTTAAATGGCAATTTCTGCTCAAACAAAAAAAAAATTTAAATGGTAATTTACGCTTACCTTTGTTAAAAAATTATATTTTAATTTAGATAACATTTGTGTTTTTTTTTTTTTTTTTTTTTGAAGTCATATTAGAAGTGACTATACATGTGATGCATGTGTATATAATTATTTTATTTTAGAAAAATAAGATTATAAACTGTATGATTGAATTTTTATTTTAGAAAAATAAGATTATAAACTGTATGATTGAATTCAAAATTTAAAAATTGATATGAATTTGAAAAAATTAGACATTGAAAGATAAGAAAAAGAAACCTCATAAAAAAATTAGAAGCCACTAAAACTTAGGGGTGAACATTCGTTGGGTTGGTCCGACACTACATAATAAAAGACTTTGTATTTGTCCAAATTCGACCCTAACATCAGGCTTCTATATTTACCGAAGCCCCACCCAAAAAATAATTATAAATTCAAAACCCACCAATTGGTTTATATGTTAAATTTTTTTTTAAAACATTCCATAATTAAATTCAATCACACATTATATTTATTAAATAAATATATTGGTATCATTATAAATTGAAAGATTTCTTAAATAAATTCAATCACATGTCATCACAAATGTGAATTTTAATAATATCAACAAAAATAAAATTTAGATCTTAACAAAAAATATATATAGTTTAATATATATAATAAATTAATTTAATAGCGGGCTGGATTGGATTGAAAGTATAAATTTCAAACCTAATCCATTAATATATTGGGTTAAAAATGTTGACCCAGCCCAACTCTATGGGCTAAAACAATCCTTCCAAACTCTAAAAAAATAGGACTGACTGAGCCGGATGGACTGGGCGGGCCAACGGACCGATACCTACCTCTACTAAAAACGTGAATTTCAAACGAGGCCTAACTCTGGTCGTTGGGCCGGAACATGGATGCACTAATATTTGGGCATAGAGTATGGGCCAGAGCACATTCGAGCCCATATAGTGTTCCGATGTTTCCCAAGTTCCACCTGTCCATATTCTGTGTGACAGTTGTTTAGACCAAGTGGGTGGTAATTCGATATCATCGAAAACATTTCATTTTATAATCCATTAATATATTGGGTTAAAAATGTTGGCCCAGCCCAACTCTATGGGCTAAAACAATCCTTCCAAACTCTAAAAAAAATAGGACTGACTGAGCCGGATGGACTGGGCGGGCCAACGGACCGATACCTACCTCTACTAAAAACGTGAATTTCAAGCGAGGCCTAACTCTGGTCGTTGGGCCGGAACATGGATGCACTAATATTTGGGCATAGAGTATGGGCCAGAGCACATTCGAGCCCATATAGTGTTCCGATGTTTCCCAAGTTCCACCTGTCCATATTCTGTGTGACAGTTGTTTAGACCAAGTGGGTGGTAATTCGATATCATCGAAAACATTTCATTTTATTTTATTTTATTTTATTTCATCTCTCTCTCTTCTGCAAAATTCGAAGGATGACTTGTGTTTCGGGTCCATTGATTTCAGCAAGAAACCCTCAGACCCAGTTATTCTCAGGTAATTTTCACCTAATTTACTTGTTCTGATCAGTTCTTCTATCTTTGCATGACATATAAGCATTTTTCATTCATTGGGGTCGTTCTTGTTTTGAAAGAACCAAATCACTACTTCAATTTTCTCAAATTCATATACATACATGTGAATTTTGTTTCTGAGATTTATGATTGTGCCAAACCTAAGTGATTTTTTTGAGCTAGTTGTAATATCTCAGCATGGGGTTTCGGACTTGAAATTTGAACAATTGAAGGTGAAGCTGTTGATAGTCAAGAAATTAGAAGCCGCTACCAATACTGATTGATACAGCGACCAATTTTGGGTTTTGGGTTCTCTAGTTTTGTGATGCAACTTCCATATTTTGAAATTGTCCTGGCTGTGATTGTGAATTCTCTTGGTAAATCGCAATGTGCTTCTCGGTGTAGCTTTGCAATCCCATGGAGATACCTAAATGAGCACTAGATGTGTTTCTATTTGCTTTTTCAGAAGTTTCTTGGTTATCTGTGTACTTTGTGGTGTTAATGAATGATTCTATGCTGAGTAGTTTTTGAATGTTTTGACACTCTGAAGTAATTAAAGGGCCTTATTTTGACATGGTTGTTTGTCATGGGGCGTCTAGTTGGTGTATCAAACACTCTCTATCTATGAGTTTTGATTTATTTTTAGTTTGTTTGTGTAAATAGCTGAATTGTGTTTTTTAAGATATTTTTATAGTTATAAATTTATTATTGAAAGTTCATGGTTTAAAAAACGGGTTGCAACCGTTATGTAATGTCTTTTTTTAACCGTATAGGGAATCACCACAACCCGTTACGGCCACTATAGCAATGTGATTGAATTTCACAGGTATAACCGTCGCCACCATTTACAAAACACCTGTGACGCCTATTACGGCACTAGTACAACAGTTACGTAATAGTGGTGGCGGCGGCGGCTGCTACATTTTAAAACCTATGATTTGCTTATTTTCTCCTATTTTAGCTTTTTTTATTTATTTACTCAACATTAAAGTTGAACATATTTTTTTTATGTAGTTCTAATTTGGAGATACGAATCATATGGTTTTAATGTGATGAATCTCTTTATAGTAACAATATTTTGTATTTTTTGGAATGTGACTTATTCACTTATATTTGGAAATATTATAAGATGAATAAATCATATGTATTTTAATGTTGTACAATATTTTGCATTCTTTACATTGGAATTGTTGTATGGATGATATCTTGATATTTGAGTTATGGAATTTATGTTATGTTATGTTTTTTATTTTATTTTTTTATATATATTTATTATATTTTTATTTTTCATTACCATTGAATAAACTAATCATATATGTGACATATGATAAATGTATAAACATATAAATTTTTAAAGTGTCCAGGGGTATCATTTCTTGCATTTTTTGAAAATTGATGTGTCAACATGTCATTGTCATATTCATGCGTGTCATATTCGTGTCCTCTATGCAACTTGGTTACAACTTGTAAAAGCTGTAGAAGCATATAAATTATAATCATCCAGGAAAGATCCTTGATTCATTAATATCAAATAATAATAATTTTCTTCATTATTCAACAATGGATTTCAACTATATATATATCACCAAAATGGACAAAAAAGATTAAAGGAAAACTAAGATAGAGATTACAAATTGAAATTAGTGGATAATAAACTCCCCATAGCAGCAAAAAAGCATCTAAACTTAGGTTGGTTGGTCAAGTCATTTCGTCACTCAATTTTCGTGATGAAGTGGGGTCTGGTTCTTCCACTTTCCTTGCCAACAACAGAGTTTTTCCAGCTGTTTCTACACTCTCAAGTTGCCTGGATGAGAAGTTAGGGCAAAATTGGGTGAGAGACATGATATGGCTTCTTTTTGCGGAGGCCAAGCAAAATATGTAGTCAATATCCCTTTGCACCACACCACACCACACCACACCACACCACACCAAACCAACCAAGACTAATGTATAAATATTATACGTTGGTTTCGAACAAGGTTGTTAAAATCAAAATCCTAGGACTGTTGGAGGGGATACAAGATTGGATAAGGGATTGTAAGATTGTGCCAAAAAAATGAAAAAATGCATAATGATTTGAAACCGACACTTTGCACTTGTTAGTAGAAGTACACAAAAGAAAAGGAACAAGAAGTAAATAGATTTGGGTTTGGAAATATAATAATAAGAGAGAAAAATAAAAGAAAAAGAGAGCTCTATATATCAAATTTTTTGTTATTGTTACATTTATGCCATAGCACTTAATAGAAGAAAGGACAATCGAGAGAGAGAGAGAGTGAATTGGATTTGGATTTGGATTTGGATTTGGAACACCTTAAAGGAAAATCAAGAAGAGCTACATAATGCAATAAGGATACACAACCCTTGTAGTTCAATTCTATAAGACCTTTATAGTTTTATTTCGTTTGGATCCACCTTTATTTGGTGAAGAAGGATGATTCTTGCTATTTTTGGATTCCTTTTTGGAATTGGCCAACATTGTGGTGCTGGGTTCCAACAAGGAATCCACTAACGTGGAGCAAACTTTGCATCACGAGTTCAAGTATGAAAGGGGCAATCTTTGGAAAGGACAAGAGAACATAGGAGTTGTTGCTATGCTAAATGTTGGTTTAATTATGATGGTCACCTAATGTTATATGAACTTTTCAAAATAAATCAAATACCCGTGTCAGACACTCGACACTTGGACAAGGGTGTGGGAAATGCATCCGATACTTTTCGTCAGACACTTCTTATATATTTGTATTTAACACTATGATTATATGTATATATTATTACATAATTGCTATAAAATGAATAAAATTCCTTTTTGACATTGTTACGTATAACACCATTTTATCTTAAATACTAGATTAAAAATATAAAAACATGGCGTTTTTATGTCAAGTTTGTGCACCCTTGAATTTGACGTTTGATGGGTCCAACCTCTAGTCTATATACGAACCCACACTCGATACTTGTACTGAAGTCCATGTAACATAGACGGTTACAAAGTGAGCCTTGTTTGGCATTTTACTAGATAGTAAAATAATTAAGTATCGAGTGGCATATTTATCTAATAGATCATATTCAAGCGTTAGTAACAATGAATAACTATGAAGCTATCTCAAAGGAGAATGGGGTTTATTGTGTGTTGAGAACAATTATTAGTTTTTATAAAGACTACATTGCTTCTCTCACATAAATGGGGATTGGGGAGCACTGCTTCATTTATATATAGGCCAAGATGATCTCTTTAGAGTGTAGTTTCTAAGCTCATTATTATGGTAGAAAATTTTATTTTCCAGGATAAAGTAGGATCATAAAAGGTAAATTTTGAAATGGGAATTTTATTTCTTCTTTGTTGTTGGGTTTTAAGGTTGGGGTGTGGATGGTGGTGAGATGGTTGGAATGGAGCCTTCTAGGAAGATGGTGTGCAAGGTAAATTTTGAAATGGGAATTTTATTTCTTCTTTGTTGTTGGGTTTTAAGGTTGGGGTGTGGATGGTGGTGAGATGGTTGGAATGGAGCCTTCTAGGAAGATGGTGTGCACTAGGGATGGCAACGGGGCGAGGTGGGGTGGGTTCCTCGCTCCCCATCATTGATCCCCGGATGTGTTTCACTACCTCGTCCCTGCCACCGCCTCGATCTTTGACTGAGATTATTTTTGACACCCAATCCCTGCCCCTAACAGGAGTGGTTTCTCCACCTCATCCTTGATCCCCAAATTATACTACTCCTCTAGTAAAATCAAAAGAAATCAAGGCAAAGAAAGGAGAGGAGGGGGGGGGGGGGGGGAAGCACATAAAAAAAGAAGATATCTAACTAGGCAAAGAAAAATGTCATCATGTATGATAGTCGATAAGTTAATAGAGAGAGGTAGGTAAGAGAATTAATGTGGGAGATTCTGGCATGATGTGATAGTTTATATATATACTGATTGTATATAAGGAATGCTTTTTATCATGACAATTCTTACTGCATTAGCCCACTGCTTAATGTGGGGGAACTACTTAATAATCACGTTGCCTTAATTGTTACGGGAATTTGTAAAATTAATTAAACCAAAGAAAGAAGTTCAGGGAGAAATTCAAGTGCACATAGTATTACCATGCAATGAGCAATCTTGTTTTGCGGTAAGGTTCACAATATTGTTAGGTTAATGAGAGACAAGACTTGTTCAACTAATTCCATTTGCGACTTTTTATTAGCTGGTGACACCACATAGAATGATGTCACCGTTACACTCAATATTTTCCCATTGCAGGCTTCTTCTTTTTTACCTGAGCAATATTTAATGAGTAGTTCTATACAAATAGAAAAATAAACAAAATTATTATACATAATGATGTGGTATGTTGTGGTCTTTTTATTTAAAAACATAATGCCCATTATTTTGATAATAATTTTTAATCGGTGGAATTATGCTGTAATGGGTGTCGTGCTTTGTAGAATGACTCTTGTTATGTATAAAATATTAATGGAGCTAATTACACCAATTAGAAAGTGGTACAGTTGGTTAGTCTCCTTAAATGCTATTCAAAACATTTGGGTTCGAGTCTTGTTCCCAACATTATATTTTACGCACTTGCTATTTAAAAAACAAATAAATGGGGATGGGGATGGGTGTGGGTATCCCCGACCCAATCCGACTACAATTGGGTTTTAAAAATTTATCTTTATACCCATCCCGAACCCCGACAAAATGGCAAAAATCCACTCCCATCGAGGGTGGAGACAGAGACTGCGGGTTGGGTCAGGTTGGATTGCCATCTCTAGTGTCACCAGAGGTGTAGGATTTGAGAGTAGAAATGATCTTTGATGGGGAGAGAGAATGGCAGCGAAATCTTATGAGCTTGGTGGATGTAGTACTTATGTGTGTCTTGAATGCATGAAGGTGGAAATCTCCTCATATAGGAAAGTTGGACTGTGGGAGCAAGCTCATCCATACATGATGCCATATGCTCAGGGACAAGTAGCATAACTCCATGGGTTTGATAATTTGGAGGTTTCCCAACTGCCAATTGCGTCGATGATCAAATTTCGGATGGGCTGCAATGGTAGTAGGTATATTAAACCTCAGTGATTGTACTAGAGAATCTAAAGTGGGTAGTTATGTTGAGGGGAGGGAATTTAACATGTGACTTGTTAACACAACTCGAACCGTACAATTAATTGGAGGGTTAGGGTTGGTCATTTTTTAACATGAACACGAATATGACACAACCTAACAACATGAATATTAAATGGGTTGTGTTAGGGTTGAACATGTGTAACCCAAACACGACCCATCTAATAATTTGTGTCGACGTATAGACACAAACCCACTATTGACCACAAGTAACCCAAATGCAACTTGAATCTAGTAGCCCTATAATCTTAAATGCTTTAGTCTCAACCATTGAATTATATATTGGTTTGGAAGAACTTGTTTTGTTATTGAAGTTTTGTTGGATGTTTGAATATTAATGTGTAACAATAGTTCAAATTGGATGTGCGGTGGATTCGTAATAAATATTTTGAATTATTTTCATGACATATTGACATATATCTTAGAAAAAAATGCATTTAAATAGGAAATATAATTGTATTTTCATGAAAGTGCTAGTGAGCATGTGTCTTGTGCTAAGAAGCACAGACACTTCTAAGAAGGTGACGTATCCGTATCGTCTTCATGTCGGACACCAACACTCTTTGGACACTTTCCCGACACGTGTCCGACACTTTTCAAAACGTGTCCTATTTTTTAATTTTTTTTAAAGGTCTGGACACTTTTTGGATACTTGGAGGACACACGTGTCTATTGCTTAAACACACGTATCTATCGATTAGACACAGGTGAAACTAATTATAAGTTTGAACAAAACAACTTAAAATATAATAATAAAATAAAAATCATATAAATTTATAGGAATTAGTGTCATATTATAATTTTTTATTATCTTTGAATGATATATTCATATATATAACATATAATAAATATATAAAATTATAGATTTTATGCGTGTCCTTCACGTGTCGTGTCCTGCATTTTTTGAAAATTGGCGTGTCGACGTGTCCGTGTCGTATTCGTGTCATGTCACGTGTCCGTGTCTGTGCTTCTTAGGCCTTGTGCAAGTAAAATCCTTGGCATAGAACACAACTCACTTGTTGTGGCTTGCATGTCTATGGAAGTGCAATTACTTTGAGTTAACCCCATTTAAATGTAGTTTCCCATATATATTATCGTTTCGTGTTAATGTTTAAACATGTTACCCTTATTATGCTTGTAATGTGAAACAAGTTTGCTTGAAATAACAAATTCTTATACTAACTTTGTTATGCATGTCGTGTTTGGGTTGACATGATTATAAGTAGGTCAGGCTAGTGTCAAGATAATTGACACGGTTAGTTAAATGGGTTGTGTTAGTGTTAAGGTGTTTTGGACATGAACCCGCAATGACTCGAAAACGACATGACACAGCATGATTCCCACCCCTATAATGAGTCACATCTCTTGATCAATATCCCCCTTATCATCTTGTGGTCTCTCTTTCTAAGATATGTTGAGGTGCGGGTCTCCCATGGGAGAAGAGGACAAGACATCACCTTAACGAACCCTCAACTCTAGCTTCCAACCCACAAATCCTCTGGTGATCTTGAGTGAGGTTATGGGTCGCTTGAGTCTCCCATGATTGAGTCACCAACTGTGATAGGATTCCAAGACTTGCTTCCAACCTAGGCTAGCGTCCTAGCATCAAGGTGCCCTTTGATGGAGTTTGTAATAGAGGTGCATGCTCAGACCTAGCTGAGACAGGACGGAGCATAAGTTATTGTTCCCTTAGGCAAGTTAGACGCTAGCCTCACGCAAAATAATAATAAAATAATCAAAATCAAAAATTTCTTGTTTGATGGGCAAACGAAATAAAAAAAAACTCTCCTTGTCCAAAGGCTTAACAAAAAACAAAAAGTCTCCTTATTTAAAGGTCTACCAAAAAAATAAAAATAACTTGTCCAAAGGCTCAATAAAATAAAAACTATTATTCTCCATTGGCCCCTAATGATAAGGGTCTAGAGAGGGGGGAAAAAAAATCCTTTTCGAAAGGCCTAACAAAATGAAAACCATTCTTATCGAGGCACTGTCAATAGTAATTGTGGTAGACCTCATTATAACTATAAGAATAGATATGCAACTTGCAAGGAAAGTGAATTTTGCACAAAAAATGTTACAACATAAAAAATTAATGAATATTATTTAAATATAAAAATCCCCCTTTAGGATTTTGCTTAAGGCTCCCAAGAGTATTGGGCGGACTTTGGATGGAGGGCACGCTTGGCTGAAGAGTGAGTGTGCATAGCAATTGGAGATTGATGCTTGGAACAACTAGGGGACATGCTTGGATGGGCAATTGCTCAACTGAGTCTGAGCCAAGGTTCTAAGCATATGCTGCAGTGGAAATGGTGGTGTTCTTTGGTTGAGATATGCTCAGCCTAGCCAAGCTGTGCGTCAAGAACATAAAGAGGATGCTTTTGTCTCTTTGCCTAGGTTCAAGGGCTAGGGCATTGCGTGTGTTATCCGTGGCCAACCTGGCTTCACCCTGGAGGAGAGCATATTGTTGGTTCAGTTGCCATGTGCCGAGTTTGACTGGTGAATCCAATGTGCTGATGTGGTAGGCTCAGGGAGATGATGTGCAGATGACTTGGCTTGCCATGTGATGAATTAGATGTACACATCACGGAAGGGCATTGAGTCTTGGTTGACCATCATCTGGTAGCTAGCAAAAGTGATCTTGTTGTAGAGTTATCAGTGTTCTATTGCATTGTGTGTCAAGCTTGAAGCGTGAAGTTATACCGTGGTGCTCTGTAATGCATGCAGTCAAAAAAGTGTCTAAAAAAGTAGTGTCTCCGCATTTTTAACCCTCTGACCAGTTTTTAATTATTTGAACAAGCATTTAAATTTGCCATGAATATATTTGAACATAATTTGCCATGCTATGGTAGGCCACATATGACGTGATTAAATAAGCTTTCATGCATTTAATTAGGGCATTTGGTTTTGGGGTTCTTAATATTTTCTCATTGTAACCAAACATATGATGTTAGGTTCGTCTTTGATGCAAGTGGACCAATGTCTTAGCTCGAAGAACTTGTTGATGAGCACTACTTACCAGGGAAAAGTGAAAGCACTGAAGTACAAAAGGCCATTTACAGTGCAAGCAAGGTAAATTTATTTTTGAGCATAGACATGTTGATTCTTTGTTTGGACATACTTGCATGTAGTTGAAATAGTCTGACAGTCACAAGATAAAAAATTGCATCCACAGCAAGTCGCCTCTCTCTCTCTCATGCATATGGACATGCAAATGCATACATGCATGAATTGTTTGCCTTTTAGTTATTGTTGCATGGTTCTGGTCCCCTTGATGCTTGCTTACCATTTCAGATTAAGCATAACCTTGCTGATGCTGACTACAAAAGATAGTTTCTAAACTTTTACATCTATGATGATTTTCAAAGAATCCTGTTTTAGTTCTTGAGCAAATTGTTGTGACTTCTTGTCAGATTGAACTCTATTTTTTCTAAGACGATTATTCACTTTGTGTGCATGTGCAGTGCGGATGGTGGAAGACCAAGTAGTGCAAGTATCTTTGTCGGTGGCTTTGTCTTGGGTGGAATTGTTGTTGGAGCACTAGGCTGTATATATGCACCCCAGGTATGTGTGTATTCCTGAACTGTTGTCTATCCATTAGAATTGGATTTATTTGGTCAAATCTCTGGCTTGTTTGATATGCGGTACTTCAAATTTGATTGGATAACATAGTTGCTGTGAGGTTCATTTGCCTTACAGATCAGCAAGGCACTGGCAGGAGCAGACAGGAAAGATTTGATGAGAAAGCTGCCAAAATTCATATATGATGAAGAGAAAGCCTTGGAGGTGAGATCTTTCTCTTGCATTTTGGCTTCCATTTAAAAAAATTTCTTGGTTATTTTTTTTTTTCCTTTTGTGGAGCTGACTTTCATCATTTATTATGACTTTTTTTTTGGGCACCCGTTATCTAAGTCTTACCCCTGGTTGGAATTCGTTTCAGTTCCACAATTTCTAGTAATTTGCTTTATATTGTGCTGCATTGTGTGCAGATCATCTTCTGAGATGTAAATTACACAAATGTCTCTGCTGACTCTTCCTTTGACCTTCAACCTTTAGCTAAAAACCTACCGGTCTCCACTGGTGCAATTGTTGATTTGTTTTGAACCCTAATTTATACTTTTCTAGCTTTGTGCATCACAATTATCTTTGGTTTTCTCCTTCATCTTCCCACTTACGAAGGATGGAACCTTTGAGGATGACAAGTCCACATAAGAGTCTGCAACGTGCCTGAAACATGTTGAGAAACGTGCTGGACATGCGTCCAAACATTTGTTACTAAATTTTTGACTTTCTTTTAAACTGAACATGTTTTGGAGACGTGTGGAATGTGTATCTATCACCTAGACAGGCATAAGAGACACATTTGAAGAAATCAAAATGGAAGCCAAAGATTAATTTAAAAAATAAAAATTGAAATAGTTTGGATCTATATCCATGAATTCCTCCTTTAGGCATTTAAAATTTTAAACCCTAACAACTTCCAATTTCCTTGTGAATCCTTGGACCTTGAGATGTACGTATTCAACACCCAAGACGCAACCATCCGGGAAATTATTAGAACAAATCACAGGCTCTCTTTTTCTATATATATATATACAAAAGGCACCAAAATACATAGTACAAATACAGAACATCAAAGTATACACTTATGTAATTATCTCCTATATATCAACAAGCATATACTACTCTCCCAAGAAATCAGCAAAATCACACAAAGAAAAAGGAAATGTCTCCTGAAGCCAAAAAATAAAAAATAAAAAATCAAGGAGACAAGAACTACCCCTTTTAATCCGAAATGGAGCTCTCAACATTATCAAAAGATCTCCTCTTCGTAAACACCTCAAGCTTTCTTTTTCTTAAACCCTGCCACCCTCCACCAACCTAAGATGATGATGATGATGATGATGATGATAAAACAGGAGTTTGAGAAGTAGAACCGTCCTCTTATTATTAATTTTTTTTATAAAATAAATTATTATTATTATTATTTAGTTTTTCATTCATCTATGGTCATCTATTTGTGTCTATTTGTGGTTTACCCTTAATTCATCATATTTTTAGAAGCTTGATTGATATGATCAAGCAGCCCCAGAATCTGTATTCTTTATCACATAGAGTACATGACATATACGTTATTCATTAAATATTTAATTTAATTATGGTCATCTATGGTCATCTATTTGTGGTTTACCCTTAATTCATCATATTTTTAGAAGCTTGATTGATATGATCAAGCAGCCCCAGAATCTGTATTCTTTATCACATAGTACATGACATATACGTTATTCATTAAATATTTAATTTAATAATTTTTTTTTTCTATGATATGGTATATTTTTAATTTTTACTAGGGATCTTGTCATTGATTCATATTTACAATATGAACTCTCATCCACTTTATATGATTTGATGAGAACAGAGGACACGCAAAATCCTGACTGAGAAGATCGCGCAGCTGAACTCTGCCATAGATGACGTCTCTTCGCAGCTCCGTGCTGATGATACCCCAAATGGAACTGCTGTAAGCCCGGATGAACTTGAGGCTTCCATATGACAAACTGTTCAAAAGGTATCCTGAAGTTGTTTATAGATGAGAAATGTTTGAAACAAATCCTTTAAATTTTCACCAGTAAACTGAGGGCTCAAGGTGGGGCCCTTATGTAAGACCAAGTTTCTGGGATGATCACAACTGGATGCCTCTTATACCAAACTTTACTCTCATAAAGGTTTACTACGCACACAATGATGCCCGCTTATCTCTTCATCAACTAAATGTGCGGATGCCTTGTTCTTTTCTTTTCTTTTTTTAATTGTAAGGGAGCAGAAAGCTACATCACGCAATCATGAGACTCAAGTTGGGACATTACATTGGGTTAGGGAGAACTCCATCCACCATATTGATTCTAAGACCTGTTTGGGGCAATTTTTTGGAAATAGATAATCAGAAAACCGATAGAAATGAGTGGTAAGACTAGACATGACAGGATTAGGAATGAGTGTATTCGGGAATGGGTAGGAGTAGCACCGATTGAAGATAAGTTGAGAGAGAATCGTTTGAGATGGTTTGGTCATATTCAACGGAAACCAACAGAGGCAGTAGTGAAGAGATGCGATGCTGTAACGGTAGATGAAAGTGTTAGGAGACGGGATAGGCCTAGATTAACATTGACTAGCGTTTTAAATAGAGATATGAATCTACTTAATTTAACTAATGAAATGGCATTTGATAAGGCCGCGTGGAGAAGAAGGATTTATGTAGCCAACCCCATTTGATGTGACTTAAGGCTTGGTTTGATTTGGTTTGGTTTGGTTAGATAATCAGAAAACCGAAGTTAGAAGGACATGTTTTATTGTTTCTCAATAATTAATGTTTTTAACTTATTTAAACTATTTGTGTCTCATAAATTATAAGTAGAAAGTTGTATCAAATATTTTAGTACAAATTTTCAAAATAAAAAAAAAAGTTTTAATTAGCTCAATAAGTTACACCAAACAGAAATTTGATGGGATTGTCTGAATCCAATAATAGATGTAATAAGGTGAATAGTGATCTGGACTTGTAAGTCTAGCAACATGCAGCCGCCGTGAAATGGATTTGTTAGTAGAGGTTGATGACCATCATAAAAGTTGAGCGTGATTGGTGTAATTTATTGAGGCTGTTTATAGATTTTATTTATTTATTTGGAGAATTTATGTCAAAAATATTTGGCGTAATTTTGACTTACAGCTTTTTTATACATAAACAGGACTGAAAAAGGTAAAATAACCAAATGTTTTTCAGCACCAAAATGTTTGGTGTTTGTTTGGGGACTTTCTAGATTCCGTTATAGGGATTAGTTTCTCCCTAGTTCGTGATCGGACTAAATGGTATTATTGGACTTGTGGAGATCTATTCATGGGTTTCGTTTTGATAATTCAAACCGTTCAATGTGTAGAACTCGTCGAATATACTATGCTTGTAAAAAATTACATTGATCGAATATCAATAGCTATTTTATCGGATTAGATTTTTGTCAATTGTTTATTTTTTTACCGTTAATTTTTTATACAAAATTGATTTGATCACGTAATTATCAATATCCGATTAACATGATTTTTTTACAATTATATAGCACTCAGTGAATTTTACACATTAATTGTTTAAATTATCAATACAGGACTCGTGATAAGTCTCTACAGGCCCAATGACACCCCCATACGAACGGTAGGGAAGCCAAACTCTCCATTATTGATGTATGGTTTCTTTCAGTCGCTCTCTCCCAAACACATAATTGAGAGGAAAAAGAAAAATGAGCATTTGGTAGGGCACAATGTGTAAATGACTTTTGTCTCTTTTTCGATAATGATTCATCAAATATCAGCATCTCATATATCATATTATGGGGATCAAATTTGAATAATAAATTTTAAATATCATCCCATTGTTTAATAAGCTCCACCTTTCATATCTTTTATATCTACGCATTGTTAGACAATATTAAAAAATTAATACTCAAAAACTTTAATTACTATAATACTATTTTTGCGTGGTTAGATGGAAAGAACTTAACACTAATTATGAATTTGAGTAAAAAAAATTTAAAAAGAAAGAAAGAAAGAAAAAGTGTGAAAAATGTACGTGAAATGCAATTATATTTTATTCACATTATTCTTTTTTCTTTTTAAATTTCTACTGAAATTTATGATTCAAATACAGTATCAAAGTATTTAAACTCACCAAAATTATGTGGTTCAATACTTGAATGGGTTAGTTAAGAAAAAGAAAAAGAAAATTGGAATCTCTTTTTAAGTGAACAAAGACATAATAATCGTAGTTAACAAACAGGACTAATCATGCACTTTATTAGAGGATTAAGAATTATTATTATTATTATTTTTATTTACGTGTAGATATTAGTCCATGTGTTTGTTTAAGATTGTTATCTTATTTTTTTAAAATTTAAATATTAATTATATGTCATATTTAATTTTTGTTATAATTATAATTTATTAAGTTATATTTGGATCAAAAATTTGAACAGAAATTTAAAATGAGAAAATAAAAAAGTTTAAAAAATTTGAATGAAATATGGGTATTTTTTTTTCATTTTCTTTTTTCTTTTTAAATTTTTATCCGAATTTATGATTCAAATATACTTCACGCTTCCTTATAAAATGATATATCAAAACAACAAAAATATAAATATATTTTATGATGAACATAGTTTATGGTAAACTTGGGATGTAATTAACCACTTTTTATTTTTATTTTATTTTATTTTTTTACATTAATGGAAGCAGTGACAATGTCATGATGTTTAATCAAGAGGAGTTTGGAACTTCTAGAGTGATCTTAGATGTGCTTAGTCAGAATCCACTAGCTAAGAAAGTCTACAACTATTTTAGTCCAATCAATGTGATTCATGAGAAACTGGAGACAGTTGAAAATTTTTATTAATCACTGAGATTGTATTTGAAAAGATTTGTGAAAGAAAGGTTAAGGAAAAATTATTAAGATTGTACTTGGATTTATGTTAAGTTTGGCATCTTTAAAAAAAAGTTAAAAAATCAAAAAGTCACTATCTTATTTAAGTCACATCATTTTATTTTTATTTAAGTCACATCACATTTCTATCGCATCATTTCAAACCCAACCCATATTTCATAAAAAGTTAAAAAGTGCACTTATTTAGAATATTTCAAATAATCCCTAAGATTTGAGAAGAAATTTGGGGCTGAAAAATAAAGGAACAGGAAAATGTTATATATATATATATATATAAGTTCAATTTATATTTCATTCGCTTTTCTTGATTTTATTATTATTATTTTTTTCAAATCCTTAATCTAAAGAAATAACTACTAGACAATTTTATTGATCGAATTTATTTACTCATAAGTTTTTATTTTTATGTTATTTACGTATCTATCCCTTGTTTTGACAATTAGAAGCTTTTAAGACTATTTAAGGTGGTGTTTGGGAAGGGCTTTTGGGGCTAAATTAGCCATGTAAGGATAAAAAAGTTGATTTTAGCCACATGGGGACAAAAACAGAGGCAATCACTTGGCACCAACAATTGTGAAGGTAAATTTACAAAATTACCCCCACATGAGAGAGGGGCATCACCTCAGCGTTTCCCAGACAAAAGCTTCACATCACTTCCCAAAAAACACCTATTCCCAGAAAAATACACAGGACGTTGAAAAAAAAAAAAAATTAAAAACATTTTTTTGGTTTTTGTTAAAATATTTTATAAAAATAAATTCAAACTCTATTTATAAAAATATTTTTAAATATTTTAATTTTTTTGTTATGTATTTGATTATTGATTTGAGTGTAGAATTGTGAAAGTATTACGAGTTTCGAGTTATGCGTTTGGTTATAAGTTTTAAAAATAATTTACTAATTGAGTTTTATTTTATATGTTTGGTTACGATTTGAGTGTAGAGTTGTTTTTAAATTAAAAATATTAACATTTTAAATTATTTAAATTTTTTTAATATTTAAATTATTTAAATTTTTTTGTTAAAATAATTTTTTGAATATTTAAATTATTTAAATTTTTACGATTTAAATTTTTTGAATATTTATTTTAAATTTTTTCTTATTAAATTTTTTAGATTATTTACATTATTTAAATATTTAAAATAAAATTAAAATTAAAATTAAATTATTTAAAATAGGCAGGACAATAAAATAAAACCTCACTTTTTATCATTTCACAGAAAATGAAAAAAAAATTAAAATAACAATAAAATAAAAAACACATGAAAAAACCATTTGCAAAAAAAAAAAAAAAAAAAAAACTTAAAGCACATAAATTATTTTAAAAAAATATGCCTCATTCAAAAATATTTAAAAAATTATAAAAACGTAAATTCAAAAAAAAAAAAACGACAAAAATATGCCTCATCCAAAAAGAAAAAAAAAATAGAAATTACCAATTGCCATGTAATTTATAAATAAATAAAACACATGAAAACCTATTTTTGAAATAAAACACATCAAAAATATATAAAAAAAACATAAAAACATAAATTACCATTCGCCACGTAATTTACAAATAAATGAAACACATAAATAAAAAAAATGTTATTGTATACCAATAAAAATAAATAAGGCAAAAAACGTAAATTAAAAAACAAAAACTAATTAATGTATAAAAAAATAAAAATGACTAAAACATAAATTTAAAAAAAAATAAAAAAATAAAGCAAAATATGGCAAATCCAAACTCTATTTATAAAAATAAAAAAATAAATATTTTACCAAAATACGCCAAAATAAAACCCAAAATAAAAAAATTTAAGCAAAATACGCCAAATCCAAACTCAAAATAATAAAAAAAAAAAGTTAGCAAAAAAAGTCAAATCCAAACCAAAAATAAGAAAAAAAAAACAACAACAACAACAACAACAAGAAGGGCACTTTGGTAAATGAATAGGAAGACACCTCACCAAAAAGTCAAAAAGTCAAAAAAGTCAAAAAGTCAAAAAGCCCTTCCCAAATCAGGTTTTTTAGCCCTAGGCTAAAATAGCCAAAAAAGTCAAAAAGTCAAAAAGCCAACCCACTTCCCAAACGGAGGCTAAATGTGTTTTGTATATGTGGAGTGATTATCTAGTATTGATAATGATATTTTAAATTTATCAAAGTAATAAATGATTGTGACGTTTTGACTTTTGTTTGTAATTTTTGATTTATTTTAGTTTATTTGTGTTAATTTGTATTATATATTGTACGGGGTGAAATATTCTTTGCTTTCCGTACTCCTTGGACTCAAGCTTCACG